GAACGACTAAGTCTAACACATGTTCCAGGACGTTCATCAGGTTTTTTTGAAACTTTTTCACGTATAATGGAATCTTGAAACGTAGGCTTCCGTTTAAACGTAAACCAGAATGGACGTTTTTCTTCATTATCAGTTTGTTGAGGACAAATCTTGAGAAGATCGAAACTCAAAGGGTGTTCGAAATCTACTTTATAGATATATAAACCAAAACTCCAAATATCATAATGAGGTTTTTTTAGATCAAGTTTAATATCATCAGGTAATTGTTCTTGTAGACATTTACATGCATGCAAGTAGCTTTTATCTTCTAAATCATCTTGATCTACAATAATTAATATTTGATTAAATGTTGCTTGAAAATTAATTAATGGAGACTCTGCGAAACGTGTGCGACGTACATTCTAAAATAAAAAAACTCTCAATTTGCCATCGAATATAAAATTTGTCATTCAGATGAATTCTATCGATCTATAAGTAGTACTATAAATCTTTGTAACGTGTAGGAAATTGATCAGAAAGTATTGATATTCTTATTCTAAATATATACTTTTATTTAAAATAATTTCTAAACTAGATGAAGAAATAGAAATATCAATCAAATACTTTTTGAATATAGACATAAAAATCAAAGAATATAAATTATTTTTAAATGTACATACCGCTACTGATGGATCTTGTCGATTTCGATAGTATGAAGGCTAAATAAGAACAAAAGATGTAATATATATATAAAAACAAAGATTATGTTTTTTTGTAATCTCACTGGTAGTCTTGCGATTCGCGCAGGTTCTGAATAATAACCTGCTTGCTTAAAAGAAGTGATACTAGGTGGTGGTAATTCTTGATTATTTTCATCAAGCGCTTTCTTTCCAAATCGACCACGTCCAGGACCGGGACTTGTAATCATCTACTATTCAAAATATATAATCATATATAAATATATCATTCAAATAGTTTATTAACCTGTGCAATACATGGAGGATTTGGAGAATCTCTTCCATCAACTACTTTTCTTCTATTTTTACTACGTCCAAGATTTGTAAACATCTACTAATCAAAATATATAAATATAACTTTCAAATAGATTACTAACCTGTACATCACGTGGAGAATTTTGTAAATCTTTCTGATCAATATCCGAAGTAATACTTTCATTAGCACCACTATCACTCGAATCTGTTTCTTCATCTTCAGGTAAAGGAGCTTCTGCAGGTTCAGATGCAATTTTATTTCCTTCTCCAAGTTCAGCTTCTAATTTTTCATCAAAAATTTGGTCAACTATAGTTTCTTCAGCTATATCATCATCTGCTGTTACATCAATTCCACTATCAGATAGCGAATTTTCATCAAATAATGCATCATGATCATCATCCATCTTTCGATATATATCTAAAATAAAAATATATATTATCAAATAACATCAGAAAACTGTTACTGTGTTGTAGTTAATGTAATATTCAGTTATTTAGATAGTAATATATGAAAAATAGTGGATATTTTCTCAGTAACGCCCATTTTTTATTCCATACCGGGAGCAAGAAAAATTACCCACTATACTATTTGAGACTTAGAATGACCAATCCATAGACATCTTATATTGCATATATAGATGTCATTCATCCTTAATTATTATTTCTATACTTTAATTTCATTTCGAATGGATAAGAATTTATTTGCAATAGAGTTTTCTATATAAAAACGAAACTGGGAAAAAATTTGATATTGATCAATTCAATCAATAATTATTTTCAAACATTTCGCACTTTTAATACGAAAAAAATCTAACACACTGTAGATAACTAAACTATATCTTTATTCATAGATAAAATCTTGTTTCCTACCATAGAATTACATTCTCATAATATACCTAAAATAGTGTAATTCGTTGTTGTGCAGAAAAAAAATTAAAGTTGTATCATCCGAATTTTTTGCTGAGTTGAAGTATATTTGATACATATTTACATACTGTAAACTTAACGAATTCAATATTTATCTAGAAATATATTCAACCAAACATTGAAATCATGTATAGAATATTTATTCTAAATAGATCGATAACTTGTTTTTTTCCTCGATTAATCAACTTCTGAAATTATATAAATAAGATCGAAACATTTATTTTCTTACTAAAAATACAACACTATCTATTCTAGAAAAATAATCAATTAACTATAAAAATCTAGATCACTATCATCTTGATATATGTTTCCTCTTGGTGTTGAATTTGCTGATTTAATATTTTTCTTTGGTGTTGTTGTTGATGCTGATGATGTATCATCATTATCATCAATACCTTTACCAGATGTTAATTTATCTAACCATGAAGATGATGATGCTGCTGTTGTTGTTTTAATAATATTTTCTAGAGATTGTTTTCTATCTGTTATTTCATCTTCTGAACTTGATTGTTGTGTTCCAACAAGTTTTTCAACAATATGTTTGATAAGATCTTTAGCTTTATCATGTAAATAAAAAACATTATTCGGTAATAATATTGGTGCAAATTTATTCGCTAATGTTTGTGAATTCATTATATGAAATTTTAATAATCGTGTAAAATGATCAATTAATCTTGTCCATAATGAACGATCTTGTTCCGGTAACATTTTTGTTATAACATCTTTATCTAAATCTATAATATTCGATGAAAGTATATCTTCAGTTAATAAACATTGATTAACAGTTGTACGACGTATTGTTGATGGTAATTGATCAAGTATAACCATCGATGTTGTTGTTGGATCAAGATCTTTTAATGCAAATTGTTTTTGTTCATTAGCTATATCAAGTATTGTACGTTTTTGTGTAATTGTTGGTGGATCATGACGATAGAATTTCTTTTTATCAATTGTATCGATTAATTCTTTTTCAATAAAATCAAGTAGAAAATAAAGACCAGAACGATTTAATTCCATACGAAGTGAACCAGTACGTTTTGAACGAGAAAATGTATTCGATGTTGATTCAGATAATGATTGTTCATCATGTTGGGAATTTCTATGATCGATATCAACTTTTAAATGATCATCATGTCGTTTGAATAATGTAGAAGAATCAGCTTCATGTGCCGAATGAATAGATGATACTAAATAATAAGAAATTATACATGGATATATTTAATTATATAGATTTTTTTACTATTTTGTTGTTGAGGAAAACGACCAAAATCATAGATATTATTTTTAGTAGTTTTATTTGCTTCATTTGATACAGATTTTTCCCAATTAGGATAATTTGTTTCTAAATGTTGTGAATAATCTGATTTTAAACGTATTAAATGTTCTGCATCCATACGTAATTGAATTAAATTACGTTCTGCTTGTGTAATATCATTTAATAATTGTAAATTACGTTGTTCAGCACGTTGAGATTCTTGATTAAGTTGTGTAAAATAGGATTGAATATGGTCAACTTGTTCTCGTTGTTTTAATCGTGAATCAATACTTGATAATGATTGTAATTTTTGCTCAAGTTGAATACGTTCTTCTTCGCTTTTTAATATTTTTGAACGTAATTGTACACGTTTTTTATGATAATCCGCAAGGGCAGACGTCATCGATGATGAATTCATCTTAATTTTTGTTCTTTAATAGGAATGACGACAAGAAAAGAAAGAAAAAAAAATAGTTCACATATATATATATATGATGTTAAAAGATAAAAGGTAAAATCATTGCTCACATGCTTACCTTTCTCTTTTATTATTATTCTTTTTTTTTTCTTTTTTCTTCCTGTAAGGGGTTGTCAAGAGTGACCATTATGCTGCTATGTTACTCATGCTGCTATAATCTGACAAGAAGAGAAAAGAAATAAAATGCATTTGATTCAACGATTTAAGAAGAAGAAAAAAAAAGATGTCATTCTATTAGTATGATATTGCTAGAATAACTATTCACATTTAAAGATAGACTGAAAAGTGTTTTATTATATGTCATATATAAATTATCTTGTGTCAGCATAATGCGAAATTTCTGTATTTATCTATATCTTCATTTTATTGTTAGAAAAATGAATAGTTTATAGTTTTGTTGAGTAGACAATCATTGAAGTAACTGAAAAATCTTCATCTTGAAAATATGGATGAGATCGTCGTTGTAAATGATGGATATTTTTTCTAAATTATTTAGCGATTCAATGGATTATTTGAGCTTGTATTGTTTTAATTGATAATATATATTTACATGAAAAAGTGAGCTTTTTAATCTGTCTTCATAGTAACTGTATACTAACAATGTATATAATATCGCTTCATATATTTGCTTAGGCTCAAGATGATCTAATGAATACATCATATCCTATCATGGACTCAATATTTTTGTTAGAATACAAAAGAAATCGATACAAAACTTGTATAATTCTAGCTAATTTACTAATTCAGATTCTTTTCATATTCATTTTATTATACTTTTGAGTAAAAAAAATGAACTCATTTTCATCGAATTCGAATTTTTTGCGTAGATCCATTGGCACAAAAGAGAAAAAGGAAAAACAATATTACTAAATAATAATCAGACATTGAAAAACTCTACAGAACAATATATTTTACTATAACCAAAACTTATACAAACATCGTTTCTCTCTAGCTTTGTATTTCAATATGCAAACGATTTTATTTCTTACATAAACAACTAACATTTATATTTTATAAGTCTTCATCATTTCGTATATTGAAAGGAAAATATAGTAATTTAACAAGGTTTACACAACGATTATTATTCTAGTAAAGTAATATTCTTAGTTTTTCTCTCTTTTTCAAACATTCATTCAATCAAATTCGTATGAATTTTGTAGTTTCATTACTGCTGAAAATAAATAAAAATATTGTTTCTTATTATGATTTAATTTTGTGAGTGCGTGTAAGTACTAGAATTATTTTTATATCAACTTTTTATTTATTATATGATAAAAACTAAGAATGACAAAGATATAGTTGATAAAAATATCATATTTCTTATCAGAGTCACTGGCTTGAAAATACCATTTAATTATCTTCTCCTGAACTACAATGGTTGCTGAGTTGCTTCTTCAGATTCTGGAGTTACTGCTGGTTGTTGAGTTTCTCCCTCTGGAGTTGCTGCCGGTTCTTGAGTTGCAACTGGTTCTTGGGTTGCTGCTGGTTCTTGAGTTGCTGCTTCTGTTTCTTGAGTTGTTCTGTGAAATACAGAGGGAGCATGCTTTTTAGATTATTTGAAATCAAAGATGTCTGATGTCTTACGCTAATGTAGAGCTTGTTGGACGAAAAGTATGTAGTCCATGATGACATGGACGATTTGGATGTTTTCCTGGGTGACCTAGATGTTTGCCATGTTCTCCGCATCTATGCAGATCAAAATAACCAAATGTGAAACAAAACAATTAGCAACATGAACTTACTCGATTGACCCATGTTCAGGACGATGTGGTCCATGGTGTCCTCCATGTTCAGGTTTACGACCACCCTCTAGAAACAACAGTTAGTGCATATTATATCAATTTTTCAATAAAATCTATCGCAGACTTACGAGGATGACTGTTGACAGCCACGAAGACTAAAACAAGAATGATACACACTAATTTCAACATGTTGTAATGAATTGTTCTTTGTTTTGGGCATATCTGCTTTTATAGCACGAATCTTCATGTCATCATTGGCATACGATCTTCAGCAAATATTTTAAAAAATAATCCGGTTATTTAAAATAAAAAGATATTTTGGTGGGCTTTTCAATTAATTTATTGATACTTTAAGACCAAAATGAATCATATATTTCCTTTTTATAAAACAAACGATTAGCAAATTTTGTAATTGATCACATGTGAATCATACTTATTTGTCCCTGATATAATATAAAAAGTACTTTAAAATGTTTTTGTTTTACACGTTCCTTCCTTTCCGTTTCAATATAATAGATGTATCTGTGAAAAGAAAAGCTATTTGTAATAATTTAGTTGTAGATAAAAATATATTTCTTGATTACACTATTTCCTTGAAGTAATTTGAAATAGTCAAATTCAGTTTTTAACATCATTTGACCACGACAGATTTTTTCTATGTCTGGTCGATAATATAATGTATAGGTTTGTTGATAGAGATTATCAAGTTTTACATAGAGATTCGTTAGAAAATATCGCAGTTTAAATATCACTTGATCGAAATACTTTATTGATCAAATGGAATAAAAATCAATCAGTAGTATACCATTGATTCATTGTAGCACATGCTTCGGATGTATGTGATAAACAGAGAAGAATGTCTATCATACATTGATGAACCATAAATATAGAAGCTTGTTCTTGATTGAAGTTTGTGGGTGCGCGTATTGAATTCATTCTCTCACACCCATACTCTCAAGACGGTAATTTGTACATTATTTTCGAGCCTTGTTTTCAAAGTTGATTGAGAAACACAAATGTCTGTTTCTGTTACTCTAATTTTTGTTGATTTATGAGCACTACTTTCGTCGTATTCTCAGTAAGAAAGAATTTGAATCTGAATCTTGTAATTTGCTAATAAATATTAGTTTTTATGATATGAAATGCACAAACATATTTTGAAAGGTATGCGACTATCCAGGCATTTTTTTGTCTTAAAGAAGAGGACAGATCGAACTTTCTATAGCAAACATCCATTAGACTGCAAGCCATCAGTTATAAATGGCTAAGAAAATAATACATAATGTTTTTTATTAAATGCTGTAGATGCACTGACATATATCAACAGACATATGAATATTTATATTCTCAGGCATAATTTCAAAGTATTCAAATACTATATTGTTAAAATAATGATGACCCGTAAAAGAATTCTCGGTATGCTTAAGTGATTTTTGAAAATATTATTTTATTTACCACTTTGTTCAAGATCTTCATTCTTTTCACTTTGATGTAAACAATTAAAATCGTAAATATTATTATCAAAAATCGTATTCATCAGTACATAACACTTTTTATCAGGTTAAATATAATGAATTATATTGTATAAAAATATGATTGAATACGTTCTGATTTTGTGACTGATTTACTCACGAATTAAAATTTGATCATAATTCTAATGTTTTTAATCTGATTGAAACAGACTCTTCTTGAATTTTTTTTTTCTTCATACTTTTAAACGTAATTGTACACCTTCTCTACGATAATTCACAAACACAGACACCATCAATGATGAATTCATTTTAGTTTTTGTTCTTTAACAACAATAACAGCAACGACAAGAAAAGAAAGAAAAGAAATAGTTCACATATATGTGATGTTACAAGATAAAGGTAAAACGATTGCTCACATTCTTACTCTTCTCTTTCATTATTCTTTTTTTTTCTTTTTCCTTTCTGTAAGGGGTTGTCAAGAGTAACCGTTATGCTTCTATATTGCTCATGCTGCTTTAATCTGACAGAGAGAAAAAGAAAAAGAAGAAGTAGAGAATGCATTTGATTCAACGATTCAACAAGAAAAATACATAAACAAATGATTAACAAAAAATTCTTTGGTTTATTGAAAGCATACCTATTACGTTCTTAGTCTTGTATATAAATATAAAATTTAGAAATTAAATTTTTTCTTTTATAAATATTGATGTTTTTCAGATGCTATAGAGAAAATTTGCAAGATGGCAAAATTTCTTTCACGTATATTTCGAAGCGGTTCAACATCGAAAAGTTCATCGTTTCATACTTCTCAACCATCACTTCAGGACAATCAAAATCGAACACCAAATAACGTTCGTACTAGTGCATCGCTTGAAAATCTTGCTTCATATCATATTATTCCTAAAGAACTTGAAAAAAATAAATTACATAAAGCATCATGGGAAGGAAATATTGATAAAGTTACAAAACTTGCACGATCAGGACAAGTTAATATCAAAGATTCACAGGAACGGGTATGAAAATATTTTATTTGAAAATATTTTTTGTTTTTTAATATTTTCTTTTGTTTTCATAGACTCCATTACATTTAGCTGTTGTCAGAGGACATCTAGAGATAGTAAAATATCTTATTGCACACCGTGCAAAACTTGATGCTGTTGATAATGATCAACGGACACCATTAATTAAAGCTGTTCTAAGTGGTAATCAAAATCCACAACTTAATTATCAAATCTGTCAAGCTTTGCTCAATGGTGGTGCTGATGATTGTAAGATACAATTATGATTATTTTTAATTCAAAATGTCGTCCTTTTCTTTCTTCTAGATATCAATGAAGTTGATAAACATGGAAGAAATGCCTTACATTATGCCATTGATTTTGGAAATGAAAATCTTGTTAATCTCTTACTTTCAAGTAACAAATGTGATCCAAATTTTAAAGATCGTGATCAAATGACACCATTACATTTAGCAATAAAACGAAATAGTCCACATATTGTTCAATTACTTGTATCGGATGAACGTGAACAACAAGCTGATCCAAATATTGTTAATCGTTATGGACAAACTCCATTACATACAGCAGCTAGTGTTGGTTATGTTGATATTGTTCGTCTTCTGTTGCTTTCGAGTGTTGATGAACAATGTGATCCAT